ATTTTGCTTATAAGGATGGACCACTAAAGAAGGGGACCCTTGGAGATCGGAGACAAATTCAATAAACCGCCAGAACCTGTGATAGTTACGTTACTGTGCTAGGCATGTATAGGCCTAAGTGATTAATTGTAACAATTCTAAATTATAATGTACATTGTTATATAAATACAAATACTATCATCCTATGTACACATTGCTTTATTAGATTTTGTATAAGGAGGCGGGGCCCTTATAAATTGGAGGCCCCTGGAGCTCTGGGGCCCAGGTTCGGTGATCCTGCTGAACCTGCGGTAGTTACTGCTGAACACTGCCTCACTCAAATTAATGACATCTTTTATCAACATCGTAATCATTGTCATAATTATTGGCATTATCCAACATCATCGTTATCCTCCATCACCACCACCACCATCATCCACCACGATTATTATCCTCCATCAACACATTTGAGTTTTTGAATTAAATTTTTGTATAAATTTTATTTTGATTTATTATTTATTTATTTATTTTTTTTGGCTTCTACGGCCGTCAATTGTTACCTACCCTCCCCCTTCCCGCTCATCAGCATTTTGGAGTGTAATATAATGTAATACACAGTGTGGGATGATTTAGCAGAATTGTTTGCTTCCCTCTAGCAGAATGTCATTTCTTGCGCTGGTCACACTGTACGTGAAGGCGATCGAGTCTACGAAAAAGAACGTTATCATCTCAAGGGGTTTCGATTTTCAAAATAAAAAAAAGTGAGATGAAAAATGAGAAGAAATATTGAAAAAATCTTCCAGAAGAATACGCCTACGGGCCCACTAATTCTAATATACTAGCAATTGTATATTGTCGCTGTACCGAGACATCTTGCTAGGGCCTGCCTATGCCTTTAGTACAGTATAGAGACATAGACTAGCTTGGCTAGGCCTTATAAAACGGTATCCGATCTTTTAGTGTGGTATTTAAACTTAATTATTGAAATGAAAAAAAAGGCCTAAGCTTGCATAGCACCAACTTTGGTGATGCGCAGTTACAATTAAAGCATGAGGCCTAGGGCCAGGCAAAACTCTTGCAACGTTATATTATTGTTTAAACCATGCTAAACAGTGAAATTTGGAACAGCACTGCCATTTTCCAATACAGTACTTTTAATGAAACCAGTGCAAAGTTTTAGGATTTTTTTTAATTTAATTTGGCCTAAATCTTTGGTAAATTGTTCCTTTATTAAAATATCTTAAAAATGTATTATTTGGGATAGCAATTAAAAAATAATAATAGGCTACACTTATTGAGACTCAAAATCTAGTTTTTTGTGTTATCAGTACACTTCCTGTCCATGGAGGAAATAAGATTGAGTTTCTTTTCACAGACTCGGCCGCGTTTACGACGCACAATTCAAGCGCATGCGTAAAAAGTACATAATTTTGGGCACAGCGGCTGAGTTAGCGCGGTGGGCTTACGAAACGGCCAAATGCGACGTCGACATCAATGTCGAGTTGGTTATTGCGTTGTTGTTACCGTTATTGTTGAATTGAATCATCATTATCATGTTTATTACCATCATCCTCAATATTATTATTTAAGACTAGACTGAAATTTGGGAAAAAATGTATTCGTGACCTGACTTTTTGGGACAAAGACGTGGGCCTAAAATGTCTACATTGAATATTCCCTCCTCGATGAGAACATTTTTAAAACTAGACGCTCATAGATGGCATCTTGGCCTAAGGATGGGATTTTTGTATCTTCTCTCTCTGACCATGGTTGGGGCTGAGGTTAGAAATTTTATGATTATGTCATCTGCAGATGGCAGAAATAGCACTCTCATGCTTAAATTTTAATTCAACTCTCCTTTTTTCTCCATTTTATTTTTATTTTGAAAAAATTAGAGGGCCCGGGCCATCTCCCTACAAGGGGAGGCGGCATCGGTGGGAGGAGTGCTCATGGCCCCTCGTCGGGGAGATTTGGCTGCCTTCGGGGAGAAAACCACAATTTCGTCGGGGAGAAATATAAAATTATATGTATTTTTGATAATATATTTGAAAATCATTTATTTGAAATTAGCGCATTATAAATATTTATTATTATTATTTACATATTAGTAAGACTGTTAGATAAGCCCACTCCCCCCACCCCGGACCTCTTTCGGAACATTTTAAGCGACGCTCGACCACGCCCAGTTGTCGTTGGGAAATCCTTCCACCTCGGCAGGGGAACCCGCCCCGACGGGGACCTCATACCCCTCCCCCGTCGGGTAAATTGTGGCGCCACTCCTGCCCCTACTTTCAATCCTCTATTGACTATGGTTCCCTTTCACCACAGTTGGAAAATGAGACTTTTAGCATTTGAGACTTAGAATGAAATACAAGTGACTTACGTTTAAAAAAGTTTTTGGCCCAATCCTGGCTGACCCGAATGTTTGATAATATAGGTCCGGTTCTTTTGCATGACATAAAATGTTTTCCAATATTTAAATAATATATTTGATAAGCTTAAACCTAATCAATTTTAGACCTGTGGTTACCATTATATCAACGAACAAATAGCCATGAAGAGCTGCTTTTTAGCTGTATTATTGTGTTTTTGCATACCCATTTGAAATGGGTTCCGACCCGTTGCCACCCGGGCCCGTTGCCACCCGGCCCGTTGCCACCCGGCCTTTTACCACCCGGCCCGTTGCCATCCGGCCTTTTGCCACCCTAGACCCGTTGCCACCCAGCCTTTAGCCACCCGGCCTTTTGCCACCGTAGGCCCGTTGCTACCCAGGCTTTTTGACATCCGGCCTTCTGCCACCGTAGGCCCGTTGCTACCGTTGCCTTTTGACATCCGGCCTTCTGCCACCCGGCCTTTTGCTACCCGGCCCGTTGCTTCTCGTTTCGGATAATGGTATTCAGTGGGGCGCTGATAGGACGCGATGTTTAACCATTTGCGTCATCAGCAGGCCCCATGTTATTCTGTTGAAAATATTGCCTTTGAAACTTATTTTTGAGTCTTTAAGTGCCATTTCCAGGAATATAGAGGCATCTACTCTACAAATTTGCTCACTTAACGCCTACCACCTGTGAGTGGATATTTTTGTAGTAGGAAAATTTATAAAGTGGCAGGATAATTCTAAAATAAAATGGAGAAGAAAAGAAATTTATATTCAAAATTAAGTCTGAGAGTGCCAGTTTCGACCATCTTGAAGTACACAGGCTTACGACGGCCCGCCGCTGGTCTCAACAGATTGGAACTGGCCCCAGCTTAAAAAGGATTGAATCCCGGGAAGTAGTGGATATTCAGGAGAACGTCGTATACATGGCTTCACATTTGTATGTTACAGGGTATTGATGTGGACAGGTGCGGATCCAGAGATGTCCAAAAAGGTGTGTGGGGGGGGGGGTGGGTGGCGAAAGGGGGCCTAAAGTTGGGCCGATCGAGACAACACCGTCTAGACCCCCGAAAATAACATTAGAGGCGTTCTGGGCTTATATTTTTTCCTTTTCTTTCTTTTTTTCTTTTTTTTTTTACCTTCCAAATTGGGGGCCGTGGCTTGGGGGCCGTGGCTTGGGGCCCGGGACTTGGCCCCCCCCCCCACCAAATCCGCCTTGCTTAATGTTTGATATTTTATTTTATTAAAACAAATTTACTTGAATTTATAAACGTGTCTGTCCATTATTCACTTGTACGTGTACTTTATATGAGTGCTTAGTCGCTAGAATAACGTGTCAATTGTCTATTTTCAAGACGATAAATTCAGATATACAGATATATTTTATCGTCACTTTCAGAGACATAGACTTTTTTTTTTACTAATGGTACAACATCCAACCAAATTAAGTAAATAAATAAAAAGTACACGAAAAATCCATAATCTATGCATCCTGGGGTAGGGTTGTTCATATCTTAGGGCTGCAGCCTGCATACCCCACTGTTTACAATTTAAAGAGTATTATTTAGGGCCCTAATGGCAGATGGGTAGAAATTATTTATTTACCTTGTTTTGTTGGCATTTAAACTCCTGTAACGGCGACCGCTTCTCATTGTTTTAAAGAAACATCATAAAAACAATACAATTAATATTTCAGGTCGCATACCAAGAGATTTTAATGCGCACAAGAAGAACATGTGTTTCTGGCCCTCTTAATTGAGGATTTGATTGCCATTTTAGATCATTGGAGATGTGAATCCCGAGAAATTTGATTTCCTCAACAACTTCGACTGGTTACCATTTATTTTAAGAGCTTCTTTACGGTTTTAGTTACATTTAGTATGATTTTGTTAGTTCACACCATTCATTAATATGCAGCCCGGAGGAACTCGGTGTTAAGAGAAAGGTTCCAGGCACTACCTGGCCAATTTTTACAAGTTGAGGACGCTCCGTTAGAAAATTAACTATCCAGTTACAAAATAAGACCATCAATTTACATTTTAGGATTTATATTTTAGGTTTATTTATGGGTATGTTCAAAAACATGATTATTATAATGCGACACTTTTAATAAACGTTTTTTTTTTGTACAAGACTGTATGAAACGGAATGTCATGTGCCAATTGGTATGATGTCTCTTTCTTTACATTTTTTGTTTTTGTTTTTGTTTTTTTTATAACTTTTTTTTTTTTGGGTGGGGCGGGATGGGAACGTGTCCCCCCGACGGCCATTATTAAAATATGTAAATTATTTACATAATTGTAGTTTATTTATACGGTATTTCGACTGATATTCGTAACCTTGTGTGAACCATCCTAAAGGCCCTGTCACATAGTAGCGAATAGATCTAACGTATGCCGAGCGTTCACTTTTTTTTCTAAAGCTTTGTCTACACTATCAAACTTCATCAAAAAAGCATCACATAAAATGTGATGGAAAAATATCATCAAAATACATCAAACTCCATCAAATAATGTGATGTACTTTGATGAAACGTAATTATCAAATCCGATTGGTTGGTGTAAATTTTAGTGTTTGCTTATTGGTCAAAAGGTGTTTCCTAATTTTAAACGTCCATACTATCAAATTTTTACATCAAAGTTGATCAAATAATAGAAAGATGGAGCAGGAGGAGTTGGCTGCTGTGTGTCTAATTGCTGGGATTATGTTAAAGAGGAAGAGAGAGAGGGAAGAAAAGAAAAAAGAAAAGAGGATGTGGATTAAGCCATGGCTTGAGAGAAGAAATGAATTGGGAGCATGCGAGACACTAATGAGAGAGCTAAGATCGGAAGATAGGAAGGGGTTTGAGAATTATATAAGAATGGATTACATGCTATTTGACCATTTGTTGGAACTTGTGGGACCTACTATTAGCAAGAAGGATACCAACTTGCGGGAAGCGATCCCAGCACATCACCGTTTAAGTGTAACATTGCGGTTCCTGGCTACTGGTAAGTATTAATCATAATTTGTACTTTGACTTTTATCATGAAATAGTAATATGGCCAATCTTTAAGCTAATCTAGGCTACTGACGTAGTTGCTGCTTGCTTGTCACTGAATAATTTTAGCGCTTAACATTAATATTTATTTCAGGAGAATCTTACACAAGCTTGGCCTATCAACATAGGGTTTCGGAGCAGTCTCTCAGCAGGTTAATTCCTGAAGTATGCGAGGCAATCTACAATAGCCTAAAAGATGAGTACATGAAGGTAAACAACCACTTTCAAAAACCTTTCAAATACATGTCAAAATATCTACTATCTTAATACTGTATGATTTTTTTAAAAGTCATGGTATAGAGTGTAATGTGTTTGCTTTTGTCTATGTTTCACACATCCCATTTTGTTTTGTGTAACTGTATGTCCTTTCTTCAAGTACAAGTAAATATTTAACACCAATAATGTGCAAAAACACTTTACTTTATTGATACATTCCATTCAAATAATATTTTTATAATAGTGAAAATTATGAATATAAAATGCATTGTTATTCATAATCTGCCATTCCACTCCATCCAGTTTTCATTAAATACTCTAGTATATACAGTAATACTTTAAAATTAAATGAATATTTGTATAATTAGCAAGAACTTTAAATATAATGCATTGTTATTCATATAACCTGCTATTGCATTCTATCTGATTTCTATTAGATTCAGTAGTGTCAATACTTTAAATAAATAGCAAGAATTGATTAAATAAAGAGCTCAAATTATCAAAAATGCTTGAGCCCCACCCCCTGCCCTTGATCACAGCAGGGTTCACAAATCTACCATTTTTAACAGATACCCCTGCCCCAGGAGCCATTCTGGTCCACTCTCTACAAATTTGCACCCACCCAATAAAAATCCTGTGTGCAGGCCTGATCCATCCAATTTTCATTAGATTTGAATCCTGAATATGTTTCTGTTAAAAATGTTGATTTTCAAGCAAACATAAAATTTTGAAGAGCCTGTATAATTCAGTGATACGGTATTAATCACGGCATTCATGAAGTCTAATTTAGAAATAGCAACAACACAGAAGTGTAATTTAGAAATAGCAACAAAATTAAATAAAAATTACCGTAGAATTTTTGATTCATAGTAATTAACATTTTATAATATAGTATGCAATAAAAAAAAAAACCAAATGTATGCAAATACTGTAGCAAGAACCCAGAATATAAAGCAGTCAAATTTGTTAATTTCTTAGAATCTCATTCTTCAGATTCACAAAGTATTGCTTGTATTTTCAATTTAATTTGATTAATTTTTTTTCGATCACCGATTCTCTTGAGTTCAGCGGCCACATACCAACCGAAATGGTCTTCAGGGCCCTTACTATTTGCAGACGAGAGTACTTGCATAGATTTATCAATTAGCTCCTCATCTGGATTTGTCCTTTTCTTCTTTGATTTTTTCATGGGAGGGGAAATTGCTGAAAAGGATGACATTACAGAGAGGGGGGACATCTCTGAGACAGGGGACATTTCTGGGAGAGGGGCAATGGGAACAGAGTCTAAGTTAAATTCTGGTTCACAATTAACTGACATCAGTTCCTGGCTTGTTGATTCAAATACTTCCGGTGCAATTGCATCTTCCAACAAAGGTGTCCCAGTAGAATTGATACATGGATTCATCTAAAAATTAAAAATAAAATATATATTTATACATATATATATATATATATATATATATTCATATATATAATTTTTAGTTTCATCTTTTTTTTAGATTCCATCAACACAAGATGAGTGGACGAAAGTTTCCAATGATTACTTCCAAAAATGGCAGTTTCCAAATTGATGGAAAACATATCAATATGCAGTGTCCTCCAAAATCCGGTTCCTACTATTACAATTACAAGGGGACCCACTCCATCGTCTTGATGGCGTTAGTTGATGCAAACTACAAGTTTTTATACATCGACGTAGGATGCAATGGAAGGATCAGTGATGGCGGTGTGCTGCGAAATTCAACTCTTTGGCAGGCACTGACATCAGAAACCAACATTCTAAACATCCCAGAGCCATGCAGGTTGCCAGGATCTGATATTGTCACACTACATGTCATACTTGCCGACGACGCCTTTCCTCTTCACAAGCACATCATGAAGCCATACCCTCAAAGAGGATTATCAAGGAAAAAGAGAGCCTACAATTACAGATTAAGCCGAGGCCGCCGAGTAGTAGAGAATGTGTTTGGACATCTCGCTAACAGATTCAGAATCTATCACTCCAAAATAATGTTAGACCCTTCTAATTGCCAGAAAGTTGTGCTATGTACATGTGTACTGCACAATTACTTAAGGGCAAATGGGGAGGAAATGTCAATGGAAGCAGTATCCAAGCTTCAGAACTTGGATAGTTAAGGCAGCAATAACAGTACATCAATTGCTAAAGATGTTAGAGAAAAATTTTGTCACTATGTAAATGAAGTGACACCTCTTCCATGGCAATATAATTGGAACGCAAAAATTTGCTACAGTTATGAGATCACTTTCTAAGGATCTCTCTCAACCCCCACCCCTAAACAAAATAAACAACTTACAGATGATGTAGATTTACGTGGGGTGACATGGTCTGCCAAGAATGAAAGGCTTGTAAAAAAAGGCCATCTTGAAATGTAGCAATCCAGAGAGCTTCGTCCACTGCTTTTGCTCTCGGTTTCTTTTCGTCTTTCAGAGCGATAATACGTCCTCAGAGCATTTATTTTTAGCTTAACTTCAGTTTCTGTGAATGGAAAAAAATGTATAAAATAAATAAATACTGTAAATATGATTTGATTTCAATAGAATTTAGTGAATTATATTATAAAATGTAGGCAAGGAGAGCCTGAACTAAAATGTTATTTGTTTCTGTCGTTTATTTTGTTTTATATATTAAACATTATTCACATTCATATATTTTCCTTCATATATTCTAATTCATTTTATAACAATTTATAAAAATTTAATGTAAATCAACATATGGGCCTAACCTAGCCTACAGTAGATGAGGTTAATTGAAACATAATAAATCCTCACCTACTACTACTACTACTAGCTACATTCATCAATAAGGGCAAATAAAAAAAATTATTAGATTATCACTCCCCACCTGCATAAAAAATTCGGGAAATATTGATGCGGGAATAAAAAAATTTTTTTGTTAACGCATCAATTATTTCAACAGCATAAAAATAACAATGAAATTTTGTGACTTCAAACACATTTTCTTTAAAACAACTACTGTATAAAATTAAACCAGTTTATATACAATATTTACTATTACACACCAAATATAAACAGTCCCTCTCTCATCGATAAAAACAAAAGCGAAATAATCTATTGTTCCGATAAAAAAAACAAAAAAAAACAAAAAAAAAACTGCCCTTCCTCAATTTAAAAAAAAAAAAGAAGAGTGATCTAATAATTGTTTCTATGTGCCCTAATGTAGTTAGATTTTAAAAAGCCGCTAGCGCATCATGGCAAAGGCACTAAGTTAGGCTAAGGCCTGGCAAGCTCAAGCTTTTACAGAAACTTCATTCTTGGCTAGGCTAAATAAAGAGTCAATTAATGTTTGAAGCCTACGATGTAGTAGGTTGCGGCCCTCTAGCCTAGGCCTACTGGGACTCCTCCTTATCCGAGTCTAGCTTAGGCCGAAATCGATCAAGTTCAGGCTGGTTTGGGTTCCGTACGCCTGTCTACAGTAGCCTGGGTTTCGTCTAGGATAGCAGAAAGAAGTAGGCCTAACCAGGCTAGGCCTACGGTAGCTAGCTAAGCTAGGCACACCCAATCAAATCTCCACTGAAAACGCTAGCAAAATGCTATCGGCATAGGCCTAGCCTAGGCCGGCATATACTTCGTATTCAGCATTGATTCAGTACAAACATTCTTCACTCACAAAGGCAAAGTTCACTCAGCTACATCAAGTTAAGCCTGGTTTCCTGTCGACGTAAAGGTCAGAATTTCTTACGTTTCATACGTTTCTTACGATTCTTACGCAAAGTTGAAATAATGCCGACGTTAACGACGTTTGCGTTGATCGTGTTGGGCCGCAGATAAAAAAGCAATTTTCAGCCGCTTACGAAAGTTGAACTTACGACGTTGAACTCCATCCAGAGTCCAAAACGAGCGCTTGCGACTGTTACGTTGAGTTGAATTTTTCTTGCAATACGACATAAAAATGACGTCATTTGTAGTCACTTACGATTGGCTGCCTTTCCCACTAATCCGTCCTTGTTACCCAGGGTGTTCGCGCGAATGTAGGCCTCTACCTCTTTATATTATGAGCTGCACTTTAAATGTTAGCAAAACGTCTCAACATGGATTATTGTAAAGAAGTTAGGCCTACATTATTAAAATACAAAAAGGCCTATT